GTTTGGATCCTTGGAGGTATGTCTGTTTGGATCCTTGGAGGTATGTCTGTTTGGATCCTTGGAGGTATGTCTAGATTTCTGGAATTGATTTCAATTGGATTCAATTGACTAGGGAAAGCCACAACGTGCTTCCCTCTCAGAACTCAAAGCGAAAACGGATCCAACCTCCACTACCCCGAAATCAAGCTTCCCAGATTCTCAGGTGCTTATTTTAAGAACATGTTCATCATCTGCAGATCTTTGAAAGGCAAACCTCGCCCACCATGACCCCCACTCCCACACTCCCCCTCGCCATCCACCTCCGCCGGTCGGAACCCTCGGCAACGGCCGTTCCGGTCGGACGCCGAGGACCCCTGCAGGACCTTTGCACTTGGGCGGGAAGGTGACCTTGTTGATGCCTTTGCTCACCTGGCGGTGAAGAGGACCGGTGATTGTGACCTCTTCGGCCCGGTTCAGCCCGTCGAAGATGTTGGTTTTCGGGACGTGTAGCCAAGGAGTGAGCGAAGCTGTGCGATGCATTCATCAGCTAAGACTGTGCCTCGATTGTTTCCACAGGACACAACAGGACTTTCTTTTGCAATACTGTTACTGAGTCTTTCAAAATTCGTTCGGCGCAACCTTTGGTTGGTCCTGTGCCAAGGCCAAGGCGTTTATCATCACAAATGTGGGGATGCTGAGCTCATTGCAAGCATTTCAATCACAAAGCCAGGCGACATGTTGCCTTTTCTTTCAGAGACAACCTTTCAAGTACAGCTTCCAATTCCCTTGGAAACCCAACAGGGTGTGGAAGAGATTAGCAGGCCCAACAAGATGTCTCACCCGAAAGGAATTGTCTTTCAAGTCTATTTGATTCTATATGTATTTGTAGGGAGGTGAATGACTTGGATGAGTGACAGGCCTGCGTGGCCCGCACAAAGGGGACCGCCGCTTGACATGGTCTAAACTGACCGTATTTGAGGTTCCAAAGCACATGGAAACCTCCGGTTGGTCCATTTCTTGTGAAACTTAGCAACCTGATCGACCGTTCGACCCCCATGACCAGCCACATCGACCAGGTCGGGCCTTCTGATAGATCTGCATGGGATATGCGGATTCGAAGGGAGGATGGCCACCTGACACCCCAGATTCGGCTGAGATCAGTGCCCCGATGCAACGCCAACGTAGTGGTGGCTGAGATCAGGGAAGGCCAGTGCAGCATCGTCTTCCAAGAGCTAATCGGTCTTCCAAGTGGCTGTGTTCCAGACACGGTGTCGGAGGCTTGGTCAATGGGGCCATGGGGCCCTCTGATTCTTGACGTGGGAGTTTCAGCAGAGCCCCCAATCCAGATTCAGATGTCTGCCAACTAAATAAAAAGCTGGAGCTCCTCCCGAGTACACCAATGACTGCCCCATTTCAATACACACCCAAATGACCTGTGCAGCTGTTTGCAGGCTTCCAGCCATCCCCAACCATACCCAGTAGTTCAGCGTGAAGATGGTAACCATCTAGTTCACAGGCGCGAAGTCAGCCAAGTCACTCAGCAGCTCAAAGGTCAAAATCCCCAAGGTCCACCAATCCACCTCAGATTATGCAGCAATTAGGTCTCTCCCTCATGGAATAGGACATTAAGAGATACTATATATGTAAGATTCTATAGGAGTCCTGAAGCGATCTGAAGCAGAAAGGAGTTTCCACAAGCGCTAAGCTGCAGCTCGAAGAAATTTCCCAATTCCAACACAAAAGATCTGAATCTGCACCTGCACCTCAAGCCTTCTTCTTCTGCACTATATAGCAATTTTTGAAGTCCTAAATGGTTTAATCCTACCCATTCCCCCCTTCCCTGCGCGGCTGTTCTGCAACCGCCGCGCACTTTCGACTACCCGCCGCGTCACCGGATGCGAATGCCCTGCCGAGGCAATGAGCTCTGGGGCGAAGTAGTCGGGGGTGCCGCACCTGCGAAGGGTCGGAAGGGTCAGAAGTTGTGCTGTGGGGCTTCAGTCCGTGGGGGTTCTGTGGGTGGCTGGATGGAAAGGGAGAAGGCTGGAGGTGGGAGGTCGAAAAGACCGTCCAGATCACTCCGAAACGCAGCTCGATCTTGGACGATTTTAGGGGAAGCTGAACGATTGGACGATTCTGCATGCAAAAGATAATCAACTGTTAGACTCAAGACACCAATGAAACATGGAATGGTGAAGCAAGATAAGAGTCGGTCGCAAAACCCAAAAGCGAGGCTGGCTCGAAATCACGGAAATCACCTCCTCACGGCGATTTCCGAGAGCGGGGGCCCGGTAGGCCCCTGGGTAGTCCCCGAGCTGCACAAGCCAAGGTCCTGCATGACTAGACTAGGAATGGATAGGACACATAAATGAACGATAGAGTACTCTTTCATGTTGTTCTTGGACCTGCCCCTACCCAGAGCAAACCAAACCAACAACCTAGCTCACCTCCCCTAGACACGATCGAAAGAACAAGGCACGTCGTGTAGGTCTTGCCCACCACGACTTTCGCCAGGCCCATGTCCGTGAGCTTCACCAAGCCATGCTCATTCCTCAAAACCAAACCGGAACACAAACCAAAGCAAGCTACTGGTGGACACCGGTGCAGGTGCAGGAATTGACGAATACATCGAGCCAACAAAGACGTAGATCTGTCTTCCTAGTCCACATTGCCAATGCCTTTTCGAGTCCAGTGTCTTCATACTCTTCAGTAAGCACGGCAGAGTAAAAAGAGTCAAAAGTCAAAATGCAATTGTCGCTTCTCAACCTTTGCGCATTGCTACTCTCTGTTCCTTGCCCTGAGCGGAGAACTCCGTTCTGTTCCACCTTACTCTACTGTGTTCAATTCTGCTGCATTTTGCTTAACCTTCCAATTCTCTCATTCAGTGCCGTTCTTCATGGAATCGACGGACATTGTTTAATACATAGAGAAAAGGTCGACGAAGCAGAACAAGACATTGCTTCGCTGTTTCGAACGAACGAGAGGTTTGGGCAAAAGGGCGAAGAGGGAAGACAATTGATCAAGAGAATTGAATGGACATGTTGATCTCGTATACAGTAGCCCGGCTTCCTTGAGCAGGTTCCGATTTCCTTTGCTACTTATGCGTAACGCTTCTTGCATACTATATTAGAGGGAATACAACAGAATGCGGTTGTAAAGTTGATGCCCTTGATCCAGTGCAAAGCAAACTAGAGCCGGCAGTGCAAGGTATGGTGTACCATTTTTCCAGTTGGCCTTCCTTCACTATCGCGTTCCAGTGACCAAGCAAACTCACTCCTCTCTCTGCCAACTCACTTTAAATAGTCTCAGGTTGACTAGACTCAGAATACGGTAGGACAAAGAAGAGTAAAGTGTGGAGTACAGTCGAGTAGAGCAAAGGGCCAATTTAGGGTTTGCAAATAGTATAGTTAGAAGGGTATGTAATGTGTGCAGGGGTCTGTTTGCTTAGACAAAGGAGAGTCTGTGTGTGTTGGGGTTTGGCGCGTCGCTTGGCTGAAGCTCTTTGACTCTAAAACATCTGCATTTACGTCTTTGCATTGGGAGACCCACCAAATGGGAACAGGGGGACCTCCAATTGGCAACTTTGTCTGCAACTTGACATCTTACATCGAGGTAAGAATGAATCAGCATTGTGGTGCCAAGCATAAATTATATACATACTGTACATTAAGTTACAGTAGCTTGATTGTTAACCATGTCTCTTACGCGGATGTAAACGCATTCTGTTTACTAACCAACCGTCCACAGCCCACTGCTTTGCCCAAAGCCGACTGCTTTGACTGGAAGACTGGAGGGCGTGGCACTGTCGATATCTCACAAGCATTGGATGGATTTCCAGGAAGCTGCGCTTACAACATGTCGCCCAAGGATTTCTTTACGTCATCCATGAAGAAAAAGCCACAGGGCGGTAGGCCAAGTCCAAGAAGAATAGAATTGTCTATGTGCTCGCCTGGTCATGTTCAAATCTGCTTGAGGTACGGCAGCCCTGCAAACAGCATCGAAACACGTTGTTTTTACCAAAAGCATCGAAACGTTTGTAGTCGTAGGATGCTTCAAGTTGCATGTACATATTGTGCACAACAAACAATGACAAACAGCCTTTTCAAACGGGTGTGGTACAATTTCCTCTTTCTTCCCCCACACTGACACAGAGACACACACACACCAAAAAAAACTAGAGAGAGAGAGAGAGAGCGAGAGATAGACACAGTGACATCATCAATCACCTCCGCACCCTCGGATGCCAATCCCAGCTGCAGTAAGATGTTCTCCGGCTTCAAGTCACCTGGTCTGGTAGCTACCAGATCAACGGGCTGCTTTCTCCAGATAAAGGACAACGGAGGTCAAGGATCGGCCCAACGACCCCGGGCAAGCTTTTTGTGACCGATCACCAACCACGAACCAAATCGTGCCTGTTCCTAGCAAAACAGGGGTCCAATGATGCTTCCAGATGGTTCTAGCTTGTAAGTCGAGAATCCAACATATTCCAAAACATGGTGCACTTCCCAACGACACCCTGCGACTGTGCGGTCTGCGTCGAAAGGCGCGTCTCACTGTGTGCGAATGGACACCTTTGGCAAACACGTTTGGACGGCAAAAAACCTTTATGCATCTCTTTCATGAACATGATTTATCAAATTTTTCTTGTCCCACAACCTGAAGATCCTGACACAACCCGAAGATCCTGACTTCAGTGACCAAGTCTTTGGTAAGCACCGCTGGTATTGCACTCGACCTGCGAGTTCGTAACACCGGTGGCCCCAGAAGGAAATCAGCACTGAAGAACTGGGGATGACCAAGAACTTCTGGGGATGAATGGTGAATTCCTTCTGAGGATGACTAGAACAGGAACTGGGGATGCTTTTCAGCAAAGAGTTCGGTTTTGGAAGATGACTAGCCCGAAACCGGCAGCCCCCATCGCCCATCTCTTCACTGTGAGCGACGGAAGACGATCTTCTTACCTCGCATGCCAGGCGCGTCGTGGTTTATCGCCGAAACGAATAGGGTTCAGGGAGAAGGTTTGGAGCATCTGATGATGGCAATTTGAAGCGGCTGTGTGAACAGAAACATGCAAACACCACTTTTCGTAGAAATCACAAAAGGGATGATTACAGAAACACTAAAGTCACTAAGGAAAACGGATTTTGGTCGCTTACCTACGAAGATAAGGAGGCGACCGACCAATCCTGGGATGCCACCAATGGGTGTTCTGGTGTATTTCTCTTAGATCAACCCTTTCATGTCAAGTCACCATGTAGTCACCCAAAGAGCCACATGAGCCACTGCTCCAAAACTACCTGGGAGTCTTTCCATGCACACTCGCACGCCTGATGTGTCGGCCAAGCTGCTGTGCATATGCTCGAAGGCTAGAACCACCCCGGCGGTGTAAAAGCGCGCGTGGGGCTCCTGGTGAACTTAAGTCCAACTCAGACCACCCCTAGCTAAAACCACAAAATTTTGCTCGACAATGTTGAACGAGGTGACACGTAGCAAGGTATGAGTCAGAAGCTCTTCTGCATCATGCAGAATGATACGAAATCCGTTTCCTTGAGTTGGTCCAGTCCATCAATTCCAAGACCAAGTTCCTTGAACTTTTGTGAAGAGAAAAAAAGAAACATAGAAAACCATCAGCCGCGCACTCCCAAGATTTCCCCAAGTGGTTCAGGATTATGTCCATCCCAATGTGCATCGTTTTAGGAGCCGAACAGCTGGAGCACATTCCCTGAGATGTTGGCTGCATTCGTGTCTCTTAGTGTGCCGGTAAGAGATATATAGTCTCTAAAAGTCTCGTGATGAACATGTAGACCCACCTGACACATTCTACATTGGGCCCCTTCTACTGTTGGCCCGTGTGCTATTCGAGCGTTGTGTTCGTTCCGCTCATTCCTCAATCTTCCTGTCGAGCCCAAACCTCTTCCCCTGCATCGGTCGAAGGCGTGGGGTTCAGCAACATCACCCTCAATTCACCCTGCAACCAGCAAGAAGAATCCACCCCAGCACATGCGAGATTGGGCCGCTGAGGAAACAGTTTTCGAGCGTTCACCAACAAAAAACAAGGTTCTTGATGGTGCAACCCAGGTGTTTCATTCGTTTCATTGGATGTGCCCTGGTATCCCCTTTTTGGTGGTTCTTATGTCTTTTTTCCAGGCAAGGTCTCCTTTCCAAAGAGGCCCTTTTTGTTGTAGGTTGCATAGAGCTCGCCGCCCAGCGCCAGCTCCTTTCCACAGACAGGCGTGAAGGCGCACCCCGCCAAGGCCTCTTCCCTGCAGATACTACTCAAAACATCCTGGAGTAGATAGAAGATGAACTAATTCGACAACATGTTCTCTCCCCAGTTTCCTATGGGCTTTCGGATGTGTCAAATTCAGTGTCAACAGTCAACATCTTCAAGCAGGTAGTTGTTGAACAGCATATCCTTGCTTACACACATGTACACAAACAAATACCAGCGACGACCAACACTTGGGCAAGCTGCCTTCCATGGGTCATCTCTCACTCAGCCTATACACATGACAAATGGGTCCTGGAGGATCTATGGAATGGCCGGAAGCGGGAACAGGTACCGGGCAATGTGAAAGAAGAAAAAGCAGAAGAAGAAGAAGAAGAGGCGAGTAAGAATCATAAGAAACCAAATACAACTACCAAGAAAAAACCATAACAAGAACAAAAGCAAGAACCATCATAAGCAAGAAGATCAAGAGCACCAACACCAACACCCCCAACTGTCCTCCTATTCAGGTTCCTTCCTGGAACATACATACTCGCCCGAAGGCCTAGCTTTGATGGCTTACTGAAGACAAGCGTTGGATTCTTGTGTGCAAAGATGGTCTCGTGACCGCCCCACGAAGCAACGTGTCAATCGACCAATGAACCGGCATCGCTCCAGCAGGAAGTACAAGTTCTGGGTTCCATTGTAGGTTTCATAGAGCTTCACCTAGCAACAGCGACGCATCTGGCAGTCACAGGTTTCGAGGCAGGCTCTTTTTTTCGGCGAGGAATTTGAAGGATCTGATACAGATTGGGCAGTCACAAAACTTTTGGAGGGGAAGATGGCAGGGTCGAGAAGAGAGGGTTGTCCAGGGATTGGCTGGTCTACCTTTCCCACTAAGGGCAGGGAGGCACATCTGCAAGTCAAGAGTTCGATTTCCAGAACAATGGGATAGATGAATATCCACCACAAGATGAACCTGCTCATTTCTGAGTGTTCGCTGGGTATTGACTCTTCCAAAGATTGGGGTCGCTTCCTCCAAGCTGACCAAACCGCTTTTGGCTGGCAGCCAGCAATGGTTCGGTAATGGAACAAGATAAAAACAGAGGTTGAAGAACTCTATAGACTATCCCGTAGGTACCCCAGGAGGGTCCTAGTTCAGGTCACTTGACCTCTCTTGGAACGCACGAAACGAAAAATGCTGACACCCAAATATGGGTCATCTACCAGCTGGAAGCTCCGCACCCAGGTTGAAGGTAATGGGAAAATCATGGGACGAATAAGGCAATACAGAAATCGCATACTATCGCGCATACACAAACATTGCACACAGTGTCTTGTAGACGAAGATTGAAGACTCTCTCTCTCTCTCTGTATTCGAAACTCCAAGAAGTGCCGTGAAACGCTTCCTAAAACAGCTCTACCAGTTCTGTGCCTTCCTCTCGTGACAGGTGCTTTCGGATGGATGCTGAACGATTCGCCGCACGAGTGCGAGGCTGTAAAACAGGCCCAGTGGCAATGAAGGGCGAGTCACCTGGGCGAGACTGGATACGTGTTCCACAGGTTCAAACGGCTTAGCCAGTCACCCTCCCGAGAGCAAAACTAACATATCATAATATGATTTAAATTGAATTAATATGACAGAGAACCCCCACAAGTTGGTTGGAACTTGACTTTCGTCTTTCAAAGAAAAACATGCTGGTGTCATCTGGTGTCCAAAGGTTTAAGTGGACAGTTCCCTGATCTTTTGCCCGTGAAATATTAAAACAATAGAACAATGATGAAGGATAAGTTTTGCAAAAATGTCAATTCTGTCCATATATGTCCTATTATGTCATAATATATATCCTATTGGGTGCTTCTTCTCAGGATTATGGATTTCTTTTGTTTCACTTCGATCTTTTTGGTGATTGCGGAAGGCTTGACTCGATGCTCCGGGACACAAACACGCTGATGAACACATGGCACGGCCCCTGCGAAAACCCGTTTCCTCCTTTAAACAGCTGTTTTTATGTTGTTTATTTTATCGTGATCTTTTTTCTATTTGCCAATGATTGTTTGAGGGAGTGTACGATGCGTACGCCTAATTGCCCAAGCGTGATAGACCCTTCCCAAACCTCACCATCGGCATTGGACACGTCTGTCGCCGTGGACAAGCTTCAATGTCCTGCATGTATATATATATATATATATAGTTATATATATATATGAAACTATATGAAAGACAATGAAACATGATCAACCTATGAGCATATATGAGCATTCTCTATAGTAATTGAAATCTAAGAGTCATCTGAACCATCGCTTTCTATCTTTTGAAGGGGAGCAGCCTTTTCAAAGGCCTCCTACCAACGAACATCCAGGTCCTGCCGCTCCCCAACACCGCGCACGCTGCCGCTCCGATTCCGTGGGTTTCGAAGTCACACATGAGTTGGACGTTCTTCTCGCTCATCACGCTGTTTTGCATTCCACTCTTCACCACGAAGCCTTTGCCTGAGATGTTCGGCTGAAACAGCGGGGGGGGCTCAGAAGGTCGAGAGGCAGGCGAGGCAGGCGGTCCAAGCTGCTTTTGGGGGAATGGATCATGATGGATCCACATGACTCGAAATCTCGATGATCATGTGTCTGAGATGTTCATCTACCCCGCCAGGACCAACGGTTTGGGTGTCCAGGTATAAGGCTTTAAAACACATCACAAAGAGCTGAACAACAGAATAAGAACCACCAGAATCAACAAATCTGGATGGAGAAACTGATTCCTTTTCCGAGATATCGCCACGTCGCTGTGACAAACGACCAGAACCAGCCTCTCCACAACCGGACGAGTCAAGTGGCTCAAGGCTTTCAAGGCATAGGTCTCTCCAGTCTCTACCTGGAGAGTCCAGCGGTCCAGAGAAAACCACTCCGACCGGGAGGGGTCCATTCGACTATGCCGATCAATTGAGGGACCCTGGCACCACCCCCAACTGATCGGCAGTCCTATGGTAGTCCCATGTGTCATGTCTGGGTTCCGCACGTCCATCACCATTCTGCACCGGCCCTACACGTGGAGGATGGCACGGACGCACCAGCCGGCTTATTCAAACGGCCCACCAGGCCGGCGACTTCAAATTTGGCCGCTTCGTCGAACGACACGAGGGAAGCCTGGCGCACTGACATATTATAACGTATTCTGGTAAAGACTTGACTCATGAATACTTGTACAGGTTCTGCTCGTGAATTTCTGACGCGGACTTGTGAAGCAATTGCTCGGTAGCCACTGTTGTGCACGGTAGGACGCTAAGGGTGAGGCGACTTCAGGGGTCGGATCCAGGTTTTAAAGACCTCGGCAGTAGACCTCTGGTTCACTCCATCTGACCTTGAGCTCATATTGTGTTGCTTATGTTTTTGCTTTTTTAGGCGTTTGACAGGCGTTTTCAGCAATGCCTTCAAATAAAGAGATGCAAATTTGAGCTAAGCATCGACATAGGATCTATAATCCTCTCTGAGTTCCAACAAACAAAACCACCCACCCTTGAAGTCAAAAAAATGCATCTCAAGGCCTTGAACCTCTGATGCCTCGAAAGTCCATTTGGGCCGTTGCTGGCAGCGTTTTGGGTGGCGCAAATCACCCAGGGTTTCCACCGGGAAATCCGCGGTGTTCGGCCGGGGGACGTTTTGCACCAGTTCCACAGCGCCAAAGCCACCACAACCCAGGAGGCCCAGCTGCTTGAGCTTCTTCCTGCGTGTGGATGGAGGGATCGTCGGCTAGTTCTGTGATGGTTCTTTGAAGTATGCTTCTTGTTCTGCCTAGGGGGAGAAGGGAGTTCAGGTTATGACGAAACGAGCTGAAGTAGATTCTGTGAATATGTTCAAATTACACCTACTCTATCGTAGTCTCCAACCTGTCTTTAGGCAAGGATACCTTTGGTAGAAAGATGTAGAAAGTGTTTTCTGCAAAATAATTCAAAATCCCCAAACTTTGAATGGCATGGAGTTCAGAAGAGTTCTCTTCGCATATAGGAACCCAATCGTTTAGTTGTTGTTGGTTCTCCACCACTGTTCTTCACCACCGCTTAAGTCCTAGAACTTTGAGCTCCTCCACTTGATCGAATTGCACTTTAAAACGCATCTCCGAACATTGTCCCGTTCAAAAGGTGGACCTTGGACTAGATACTTTGCATGAATAAGCAGTTTCTGTTGTAAATGTTGGGACAGTAATGATATAATATATATATATATATGATTTAATTGCCAGTTCTTCACCACAACAGTAAGTTTTCTGTTGATGTCCTGTTCGTTCGTTTCAGGTTTCTCTTCCGGAAGCAATTCCTGGACCCCAGTTACAAGGAGGACCAGCTGTTCGCACTTGGTTCCTTGGTTGAACTGAAGCAAACCCCGAATCGGGGCGAATCTGAAGGATCTGTACAGTAGCATGGCTTGCACACTTTAAACAGAAAATATCTCACTCGCAAATCAGGTCACCAGCTCGTTTGATCGACATGTTTGTTTCACTACGGCCACTTTCTTCCAGCAGGCACCCTCAACTCATTGTGCCTTTCGATGTTTCCGAAGCGCTTTTTGCCTGCGGAGATGCAGTTGCCGAGAAAGAAACGAGTGTCACATCGGGCAGAAACCGTGCACATCGCGAGGTTACGCGCAAGAAATCCAAATAAGTTGCTGGCGATCGTCAACATGTACTCATTATACACAACTAAATGTAATATACATTTCTATACTGTATATAATATATACTTAATTCTACTTTCAAATATAAATTATTACACAATATTACACAACATTGTAAAATTAAACATCTCGTCAACATGTACCACAAGACTTAACCAGGCAGCTTCTCGCAACAAACCGGCTCTGACGACGTCCAAATGAGGCCATCGGCGCTCCTTCACACCATGGATGGACTTTTGGGGGGAGCTCGCTTTGGACCAAGTTGCATGGTGTCCTGTGGATCTTGGGCCTCCTAGTATCACCTTCAAGTAGATCCACCCACGGCAATACTGTAAGTCTGACATCGAAAGAATCCTTCGGAGTGGTTACATGACTGATTGACAATGTGTCTCTTTTGAAAGACACCCCTGCCGAAAAAAAGGGGCGAGGCCATGTTCTGGCTGCAGTAACATGATTGAACATCTCTCACACGACCGAAGGAAAGGCCTTCTAATACAGAGCGTGTTCATGCGTGTTCCTTCTGCTTTCGGGTCGATACGAAAGCCCAACGAGTGAACGAATGTCCAGGACCTTTGGCTCACCGTCTACCCTAAGGGTTTTCAGCGTGCAAGTCACATTGGTAAGACCAGGACACCCGTGAAGGACACATAGAATCACCTCTCTGGAGCTCCCTTGGACATATTTACCATGCGCCTCTTCCCCCGAAGTCAGGGGGGGTATCCACGCCTTGGGTATCCACGCTGCGTGGAGCCATAGACGCTGATGCGTTACCCTTCTTCACCAACATGCTCGGTGCGTCCTGTCGGAGCGGAATGAGGACAGCAGGAGGATGCACGGTGCAAGGACCCTGTTAAAGCACGTGTGAACATCTTGTGCTGGACGACTCTGATTTAAACTAACAACCCCACCTCAAAAAAACAACAAAAACAACAGCAACAGCAACAGCTACAGCAGCAACAACAACAGCACAACGTGCAACAACTGAATATTCGATGACACAACACCTTCACAAACACACGGTTCTTGTTTTGGGTCTTGACTTCGGCCCAAGACTCCAAAAGCTGAAGGAAAAGGCCAAACATGGACACAACATTGACCAATCCTTGGCTTTAATCAAGTTTTCTTCACACCCAAACGATGTTGACTCCCCATTTGGCCCAGGTTGACTCGCCCAGCTGTCGACCTTGATGCATATTGCTTTGGTGGATGCCCAAGCATCTGTGAACTTGCCTGGAGGTTGGGGTCAAACGCTAGTCCCCTCCAATCGGCGGGGTTCAAGTCTTGCCCTCCTGGATGCTACCTACTGCCGTACTGACTAAACCTGACCGATCCGCACCAAGCTCTTCTCCCACGCAAACATCTTTGCAGAACGCCCCCGGGGTCGAACACTGGGTCCCTGCAGCCCACGGCCGAAGTCGCGGGACGAACGAGCGAGCTCCGCCCGGTCCCGGCTGCGCTTGTTGAGGTCTTCAAGGGGCCCCAAGATCATATCGAACGTGGCCTTGTCCAGAACCAAGGCCTCTCCGGCGCACCCCTGTCGGTTGCGCACCATCACCCTGTTACAGGAGCTGCACTCTTAGCTCCTCGGAGTGGCTAGGCTGTGGTCTGTATACTAGTAATGCCCTTAGCTCCTAGAAGCGTCCTTGCTACTAGTAGCGATGCACCTTGTTACAAGTAGCTTGCTAGAAGCTACTAATACTCCGTTCACCATGTCCAATAGACATGTTTGATCAGGATTCAATTGTGAGCCCGCTAGATCGATGGCCAAACCTTATTGGCAGCACAAAGGCTGAAAGGCGCAAAAGCCGTGGCGCGTCAACACAGTTCACGTAATGGTAGTAATTAGAGTCAAGGATAGAGCTCATTCACCCCACCCATACGTCTGCTTAACTCTCTCATCACACCGAGAATCCCTCATCGATATGCGTGTTTGGGGCGCGGAATCCTCTCCATGCGCCTTGGCTTTCTCCGAGACCACCTTGATGGTGGCCGCCCTCGGTTCCTTGGTCAGCAAGGCTCGCTCGCCAAAGATGGAGGCCTGGCAGCCGATGGAGGCATCGGATGGGGATCGGAGAAGACACTGAGGATCGGCTCATGGTCTAATCTGGTCTACTTTCACGACTAGAAAGCTGAAGGGAAAGCACAACTGATCAAATGGTTCCCACTTAAGATAGACAACCACCATAGCTGAGTTTGGATCAAAGGTCCTACTCAATCAAGATAAGGTCGTGTTCCTAAGCTTGCAGGTTGGACCTCATCTTAACCAAGAAAGGCCAACAAACCTCATATAGCGAATCACCGACACCACGAGTCCTTTCGGTGCAGGCTGTTGCAGCTGTTTTGCACAAGATCTGGGAGACGGCTTTCGGCACTGACGTCAGTGGTTGGTGAATTGCATCGTCGAAGAAAGCGACTCGGTGGCCGGCACCGGCGCAATCGACGCTCAAATCGGACTTTGAAGGGCGGGGTATACCGAGGTCTTCGGCACATACTTCATTCGGAGCCACAGATGCAAAGAAGTGCCACAGGAGCCACAGGTCCAAACCCTGCAGTTTTTTCTGATGGCTGCCCTGTTCCTGGTTTGTCATCCCAAGAGAAACCGTTGCTATAGAATCAATAGTTGTTCGGTGCACCAAAAAACCTGATCTGTTGACACAATTGTTCCTTGATCAGCATGATTTTGACTACCATGCTGTAAATGCAACGAGTGTTTGGTGCTTAGGGCTGTTCATTGCCTCTCGAGGTCCAATATGGTCCAATCAACAAACAATCGGTGACGATTGCAGTGGCCTGTGCTGCAGTGGCCTTTAGCCGTGTCTGTTCGATCTTGTCCTTGATGACAGCCACCTGTCGAAAAGAGGAAGAACTCGGAAGCATGAACGACAAATCAAAATAATCAAACAACTAGCTGATATGTGTATACATATTAATATATATATATATATACTCATATCATATAATATCAGTATATAATATGCTTAATCAATCACAGCATGTCTGTTCTGCCAGTGTGTGTGTGTAATATAGCTATATATACACATCATATTTGCTGCTTCGTCTCATGAAAAATCGATAGGTCCACTCTCAGCGCTGCGAGTGAAACACTTCTCCACAGGGGAACCGTGGGGAGCCCGTGGCCCTCTTCGTGGATGATCACCATCAGGGAAATTGGACTCAATGGAACATGATCCTCAAACTGATCCTCAAATATCCTAATGTTGCTGACCCCTGGTGCCCTGGAACAAGGTCACTTCTCCATCTGGTCTATTGCAATCTTTCTTGGTGCTAAACAGTGCCTCACCATCGATGAGGATGTAGAAGTCATCACCTGCAGGCGTGTACCACTGCTGACCGAGCATGGGTTTCTAGATTCAGTTCCTGACCCATTCTTCCCTAAGTTCACTCACCATGCTAAACACTTCTGATTTTTGGGACACTTGGCAGGAAGAGTTATTCTTGCTCCCCCCGTGACCTGCCTCCCTTACAGGAAACCTGGCAGCAATTGGCCAGCACACACACACATGCAACTGTAGCTTTCACACATGGTTGGCCTCACGGAGACTAATTAGTCTTCCAAGAAGTTCGCACGTGGATCCAAGCGCCGCAAGAACGGCAGGTGCGCCTTGCTCGCCCTGAGTCAAGACTTCCTCATCCTTTGTGAAGGACATCTCTCTCAGCGCCGCCCTTGGACCAACCCGAGAGATACTTTTGGACACAACGATAGTGTGCAAGTGCCCTGGCAGTCAACCTCTCACCTGACAATCGCACTTTCCCAAGCTTTTCCGAGGTTGTCGTTGACGGTTGGGTGGTTGTGGGTAGAACCCCAGATACCAACATGAGTGGAGTTTCAGCGGCTAATTTATACATATGGTCCAGTACAAGGGGCACTACTGCAAACCAATTGCTAAATGGCAGAAACGTCCTTTTCTTGGCCTTTGACAGGAGTCCTGCATTTGTGAACCATCTGAGAGACTTATCGGCGACCTGTATATATAATTATGTATATATAGATATATTATGATATATTGTATATAGATATAGA